TAATGTTTCGTGCAAAAAACCGACAAAATCCCATACAACCACCCGAACAACGCCGGGGCCCTTGGGGCCTAATACGGGGGTTTTTTTTTAAGTAACCCACCCTCCCCCCCCCCCCCCCCCCCTTTTTTTTTTCCCCTCGCAATGCTAACCCCCCCGCGTAGATTGGATCCAAGGCCACCCCCTAGGCCGAAAATTCAAAGCCCTAGTATGCCACGACGGCATCTTCAGCACCATGAGCAACTGGTCGACAGAAGAGCTCTTCTTCCCGTCGCACGACTTCGGCGGCACCCTCTGGGAGAACCGCGACGGCTACGCCCGCTGGGACCCCGCCGCGTCCGCGGCCAACTGGGCTACCCCCCAGCTCGTCATACACTCGGAGCTCGATTACCGGCTGCCGATTTCGGAGGGCCTGGCTGCTTTTAATAGTACGTATTTACCTACTACAAAGGGAGAGGTTTAGGAGGGTAGGTATATTGGTGAAGTGTGCATTGCTAACGTGTTGTCGTGTGAATTAGCCCTCCAGACGCGCGGCGTGCCGAGTCGGATTTTGATATTCCCTGATGAGAATCACGTAAGTCTTTTCTTTTTCTTCTTCTGGACACCTACCTATGATCGGGATACTATGAGCTAGGTAGGTATACCCGACGTAACAGTGCGATTTCACTAACTACTGCCGTAAACCAGTGGGTGTTGAAGCCCGAGAACTCGCTTGTCTGGCATAAGGAAGTGTTGGGTTGGATTAACAAGTGGACTGGCCTGGACACTACAGGGCTGGCTGGCGACACGGAGCATCTTGGTATTTGATGGGTTATTTTGACACGTATCGTTGTACCATGATAGAATTGGAAATCCGGTAACCTAGAGCAAAATAGCAAGATAGTAAGAGACGAGATTTTGCAAATACTTTCATTTTATCATGGGCATGGCTCCTGTGTCTGACTTCTGGGGTAATTATTTAGCAGCTAACTAACGACAGTGGGGGGTTTTTTTTAAAAAAAATGATTACAAGATCTATACTGGACCGAATAGCACAGCTAAATTACAGGAAAGCTTATAGCAAATCTTGACCACATCGTCATCGTCATTCTGGACCCTTTGCTCGGCACAAACGTGCCAAACCCCTACTCAGCCTCCAAGAGGCCAAACAACTCCTTCCCATTAATCCTGCGCATTATAATCTTGACATGATCCCAACGCAACTTACTAACATCAACAAAGATCATCACAGCCGTCTTACTACTCGTCTCCGCGCGCTGAAGCGGTCCGACTAGGTCGGGGTATTCCTGCTGAAGTTTGATCTGGATGTACCAGGCAGCTTTCTGATCTATCTTTTTGAGATACTGTTTGATAAATTTAGCCTCGCTCTTCGGGCGCTTGATGCGGTACGAGTTGCTAAAGTGGTTGTACTGCTCGAGCATCTGGACCGCTTTTAGGGGTGGTTGTGGTCCTGACGACGGGGGATTGGAGAGATGGTTGAAGCTGGCTTCGTTTACGGCTCCTTGTAGGAAGGATTCTTAGATAGTCAGGTTAGCGGTTACGTAGATACTTCTATAGTGAGTTCTTACCAGACGATACTGTTTGGGAGTTTGCTTCGTGGAGCTTCTCGAGAAATTGGAAGAAGTCCTCCTGTTTAGGAACGAAATTGTCGAGAAAGTTACGGACCCGGGATTGATTGCTGATAGCCTCTGCCAACGCCTCCTTTTCCTCGAGGGTTAGTGTAGAGACTTTGTCTACCTTATCGTACATGGATTTCACCATGGGTTCCAGGCGAGCTAGAGTGTCGTTCAGTGTAGCGATATCCTGAGGTTTGGGTAGCTTTGAACGAAAACCCTCAAGGGCATTCTCGACGGTGGATAGTTGCTCTTGATGGCGATCAATCTGCTTGTTCAAAGTCTTTATGTCCTTCCCAAACCTAGCGTTGTCCGCCGTCAGTTTAAAATATTCATCGCTAACCTTCGTACGGAGGCTCTCAAGGCTGTCTTTCGTATTCTGAGTAGTCGCATCTGCTTCAGCTATAAGTGAACGAAGTCCTTCTTTATCCTTTCGAAGTTCGTCTAGCTGCTTTTCGAAATTATCACTACGACCACCTTCTGCGATGCTAGCTTCTTGGAGCTTGCAGAACCTTTCTTCGATCAATTCTAATTGCCGTTTAGCTTCGTAAACCTCCTTTACTGTAAGTGCTTGTAGAAGTCTCAAGGCATTCAATTGGTTTCCGGGCTGTTGAAGCTTATCCTCAAGCTTAGCAATACTGACAAGCTTCTGCGTTTCTTCTTCGGTACGCATGTTGTCGCGTTATGGGATCGATACAGGTGTAATATAAAAGAGCAATATGAGAGGCTATGTGTTGGTAAGATGGTCGTAATGAGTAAGATAGCCTGCAAGCCTTGGGCTGTCGTAATAGAGCGTCCTTGTCAGTTATGCAAATATAGTTACACTCACTGCTACTAGAAAATGATAGTAGTTCGGAGGTGGAATACACATGTGAGGTCTTATAGTAGCATCTGAGTGCGTCATTGGCATTCTGGATGAATGATGACTATGAATACCTAATTATATGACTCTGAGTATTGAAAGAAATAAGAGATTGGAAAGAATTGGGAAAGTTTGTCGGTTGAACCGAGGAAGTCTTATCTAATGGGTGTTCTTTCTAGGAAAGTACGTTATATAAACCTCGTTGCTCCCCCCTTCCTAGAATATTAACCACACTTGGCAATACACTTGCCTATAAGTGTACCTAAGATACCTAGTTACCTAATTAATAATGAGTACGTAGATGATACGAAATCCTACTCTCAACTAACGACTCGACAGATTCTATACAACTCACGACGTCTATTCAACTCACGACGTCTATTGCATAATAATTTTTAACTGGCAAATTCAGAACGTTTATTTAGGAAAGCATCAGCGACCTAGGTACATAACAACGCGGAAATAAGCAATAGCTTGGTCCGCGACAGCCTCCCACCGTCAGGCAATATGCATTACCAGTATTAGGTGCTAGATGCCTAGCCGCAAATGCCTAGATGCTTCTTTTCCCTCCTGTACCGACCACGGCTCATCCCTGAGACGTGCTAATAGAAAAACGAAATATGCTGGACGAGAACATCATCGCCACCTCCACCCATGTATTCTACGGGACCTCTTGGTCAACCCTCGAACCGCGCATCGTTCTATCTCCACCCTTAATGTCAGACAGACTAGCCTTGTTGAGTATGAATAAGAATACGTTGCTTAGATGAGGTCGGCCACGTTCATCGGCATCTCCTCGATCTGGGTGCTGTAGAACTGCTCGATCTCACGCATCATTCGGACGTCCTCAGCGGTAACGAAGTTGATGGCAACACCCTTTCGGCCGAATCGACCACCACGACCGATACGGTGGATGTAGTTCTCACGGTTGGCAGGCAGATCGTAGTTGATGACTAGGGACACCTGCTGGACGTCGATACCACGGGCCAGAAGATCAGTGGCGATCAGAACACGAGAAGAACCGGATCGGAACTCCTTCATAATCAGGTCACGCTGGGCCTGGTCCATATCACCGTGCATAGCCGACACAGTGAAGTCACGGGCAGTAAGCTTATCCGTAAGCCAGTCAACCTTTCTACGGGTGTTGCAGAAGATAACGGCCTGCGTGATGGTGACGGTCTCGTAGAGATCGGAGAGAGTGTCGAGCTTCCACTCCTCCTTCTCGACAGCAATGTAGAATTGCTTGATACCCTCAAGGGTAAGCTCGTCCTTCTTGACGAGAATGCGGACGGGGTCTCGCATGAACTTGGTCGTGACCTCAAGAACATCCTGGGGCATGGTGGCGGATAGAAGAACGACCTGGGTGGACTGGGGAAGGAGTTGGAAGATATCGTAGATTTGCTCAGTGAAACCACGCTGCACGATAATTATTAGCGTCGTTGGGTAGATAAAGAGGGGAAACGGCGGTACTTACAGAAAGCATCTCATCGGCCTCGTCGAGAACGAACATCTTCATGCCGTCAGTCTTGAGGAATCGTCGTTGAATCATATCCTGGACACGGCCGGGAGTGCCGACGACGACCTGGGGGCCATCCTGAAGGGCCTTCATGTCATCACGGACGCTAGTTCCGCCGATACAGGCATGGCACTCAATGTTCATGAAGTCGCCAATAGCGACAACGACCTTCTGGATCTGTTGAGCCAGCTCACGGGTAGGAGCCAGAATGAGCGCCTGGCACTGCTTGACGTTCGGGTCGATCTTCTGGAGAACGGAGATGGAGAAAGTAGCGGTCTTGCCAGTACCAGACTGGGCCTGCGCAATTACGTCGTGACCTATTCGCGGGGATTAAATTAATATTTTGCGCATATAATATTAAAGTAGAGATAAATAAATAGAAACATACCCTTGATGACCGGCATGATCGCGCGCTGCTGAATAGCAGAAGGACGCTCGAATCCATAAGCATAGACACCTTTGAAACACTGTTAGTTCACCGCAAAATTTTCTGTGGTCTCAAAGTTGGCGTTTCTCACCTCGTAGCAACTCGGGCTTGAGGTTCATCTCATCAAAGGAGTCGACAGTCTCGTCATAGTTAGACTCGATCTGGGATTGCTCGATGTCCTCGAGCCCCTTGTCGGTAGCCATGATTGTAGATGTATCGACGCGACTTCCCGAATTCCAAGCACAGCTTAGAATTCAAGAAGAGTTGGGAGCGGCGATCTTGGTGGGGTCAAGTAAGAAATGGGCGCACGAACTTTGCACTTTGGCAAGTCGTTTCGCGTAGAAATTAAATGCGTGAAAAGAAGTGGACGTAAATGCTCTCGTTACTAGAGAGCAATAAAGTCCAGCTGTTGATATTTCTTTTTGTTGTGGTTGTTGGTGTAATCTGTAACGATTTGGAAAAATCGAAGGTGGGAGGAAAAGCCCAAGATCAATGAGGTAGATGTAAAGAGGTAAGTAAAAAAAAAATTTGAGTGGGGGTAAACGTCGGCCAAACCCTGATGCGGGGCTCTAGCTCTGAAATGGTTACCTTGGAAGGTTCTACGCAGCGGCAAGCGGCGTGATTTCCAGACTTTCCCAAATTTTTATTTTATTTTTAATTTTTTTAACCTTACGATGTTAAGCTAATAAAACACCTGAGGCTCCACAAAAGTGAAGGTTGCAACTTGCAAGACCCCAAAAAACCTGAGATCTGAGCAACTTTGCATGGAAAATACAAGTACATATGTATGACACGAACTTTTGTGACTCATTGAAGCCGAATTGCTATTATCTTGTGGCAAAGCGTCCCGATCATCAAAAGTTATTACAAGCCTTCTTTCATGAATAACTTTGCCTAAACGGGCAGTTCACATACCATTTCCAGTAACTATGCTACTAGCAGAAGGGGCCAGTCGAGGAGGCGTTAGTGGAAGTGCATCAGCAAATGGAGGCGAATTACACATGCCAACTGCTGGGATGCCGTCAGATTTTATCCCAGTTCATCCAATGGGCGTCAAACCTCTTGGGAACCGATACTTTGCGTCTGGTCCAACGGCTCGGCAGTCTCTCGGTTTGTTGGCTCAACTTCCGGATGAGATGATATTGCAGATACTCGAATATTTTGATATCGAGACACTGAAAGACGTCGGATTGACTTGTCGTTTTCTTTATGCCTTTTGTCACCTCGACGAACTTTGGAAAGCATTATTTCTCGAGTAAGTCATAAAACTATGATATGTGACCCCAGACAGTCATTAGTGGCCCCTTGATGGAATCCATCTACTTTAGTGCCATCTCACTGATTTGCCTATGAAATATGAAGGACTGGCTCTCAGCCGCTCACCTGGCAAGGTTCATGGAGAGGCACGCTCCTAAAAGCTCCCGCTGGATGGCGCCCTAGGATTGACTGTAGCAATGTCTTTTCCGATGTCATTCATAGGCCATTCGCTTGCACCTACGTTGCTCTTGGGAAATATGCATCCAGTATTCCTCGGGCAAATCAAATCAGCAGGTTGGAGCAACTCGATTACGATGACTTCGCGCAGAACTGGAGCGGTAAGCCATTCATACTGACTGATTGCATTCAACGCTGGCCGGTATACAGGGACTGGAACATCCAGGAGTTAAACAGGGTATATTCGGCCGTTGAGTTCCGCGCAGAAGCTGTGGACTGGCCATTCTCGGTTTATCATGAATACATGTCTAATAACGAAGATGAAAGTCCGCTATACCTATTCGATAAGGGTTTCGCGGAGAAGATGAATATTCAGATCGGGCATGTTGCAGATGCAGCATACTGGCCCCCTGAGTGTTTTGGCCCGGACCTATTCGAGCTGCTTGGAGAAGAAAGACCAGCTCATCGATGGCTCATTGTCGGACCTAAGCGTAGCGGTTCGACTTTCCACAAGGACCCGAACGCCACCAGCGCCTGGAATGCTGTTTTGGAAGGATCGAAATACTGGATTAGTACGTACACCCTAAGGGTTGTTTAAACCCCTTTTTTGCCCTTACACTGGAACACAGTTTTATCTCTTTGAGTTAGTTAGCGACACCTCGCTGCTTTGTTTTTGTTTATTGAATCTTTCATAAACGGCAGAGACTGACTGTTGTTCCCTAGTGTTTCCACCAACGGCGCAGGTTCCCGGCGTCTACGTTTCAGAGGATAGCAGTGAAGTCACTAGCCCGCTGAGCATAGCTGAGTGGTTACTCGAGTTCCATACGGAAGCACGTGCGGTATCGGGCTGCGTGGAAGGCGTTTGCAAAGCGGGAGAGATTTTACACGTGCCTAGCGGCTGGTGGCATTTGGTTGTGAACCTTGAGGCTGGTATAGCCCTCACTCAAAACTTCGTGCCCAAGTCACACCTAGCAGATGTTCTCTCTTTTCTTAGAGACAAGCCAGACCAAGTGACCGGCTTCAAAAGCAACATTGAAAGCCCATATGACCTCTTCGTAGAGCGGCTTAAGACCGATTACCCTGAACTTCTTGACGAAGCTCTTGACGAATTAGAACGGAGAAGCCTGACAAAGAAAAGAAAATGGGAGGAGGCTATCGGGAAGAAGAGTGACGATGAGAACGGCGGCGGTGGTTTTAGCTTCGGCTTTGGAGGTGACTCTGACGAGGAGATACCTTAGAATAGACGATGAAATGTGATGTTAGAAAACCCACCATTTTGAAACTCCTCGTCAGAACGTGGGGGTATCACAAGAGCTACATATGTATGTAGGTGTTCCTGACCCGTGGATGATAAGGCCGCATTCATCCCCAGTCAGCTTTCTCCTCTCACGGTAAAAGCGGCTGAGGGGGGCACTGGAAAGAATGTTGGTGGCTTGCGTCCTGTGAACCTTTCTCCGGTGTACGCTCTGTTTCCGGAATAGGTACAGCAAGTTTATATCGAGCAAGACAAGCTGGTACCTAATACCGCCTTATTTCGCCGAGTCTTACTGGGCGGTGTTTTGTCATCTCTAAAAATGTTGGCCTAAAATAAAATCTTATGACTTGGAAGTTAATTGGAAATTTAGATACTGTATTTCGGTGTAAATGCATTCGCTCGCACCTATGACTACCTACATGCATGCTACCTGACTGCCTACATGATATATCGTACCAGAGATCAGTGTCTATAAGGTAGGTATGTACATATATTAGGTTAGGTACATACGTTAGGTAAGTGGCACGGAGCGTCTGAGACAAAGCCCGGCCCCCGAGTAGAACTTTGAGTTATTAATAGTACTTCGTACCTTGCACTGCAGTATATGTACTTGGCGGGGCTATCTTCCAATCGCATACAGGTAGGTACATATACCGCCTCGCGTGGTAGCTTACGTAGGTACCTACCTTAGGTATTGTATTGTACCTCATAATAGGGTAGTGGTTGGCGGTCGTTAATATTACCTAGCTGAGCCCCCCCACATTGATTGCATCAAGCCGTCCAGACAAGTCCATAGCACCTACCACCTGTAACTTTACTGGATTCCCACGTCCCTCCTGCGAAGCCTCCCTGTTTCCGCGACACGTAGGTGCAACTTTGGTGCAACTTCGAGGCAGCCAGCCAATCTTGGGAGCTACATCCCAAGAAGGCTTTCCGCTTCTCATCGTATATCGTACACAGCGTACACATCGTACACCGTACACATTCGTTCCACCTGCTAAAGCCCAGGGCTTTTATTTTCCACGACTGACTTTATTTTTGTTTCTTCAACACGAGTCTCGTCTCACGGCATCTGCAGAATGCGAATAGTCGCTTATTCTCTGTGGCACCCATCTTTTAGTTAACACTCCGCCCTTTTTTCGCGTTCCTTGCGACTATCTCCCTCCACTCTTACCTACCTCATATATACGCTATCGAGGAATCTATAGCTTATTCTATAACCTTTATTTTTTACTTTCTAATACGCCATCCCGCCTTGCTTACGCTTTGACGTTCGCCGGCCGAACCGTATCCCCTGACGGCCGACGCTACTCGATATATTCTATCAACGTCCACCCGGGCCGCGTTGACTCACCCCCTTACTTGCTTGCTTACCTCTGAGCATCTACATACACCACCCGCTTCCTCTACATCGCTTAATCATGGTTTCCGACGAAACGTTCGAGATATGCCTTCCTGTCCTGCAGGACCCGAACCTTGACGACGATGACAAGACGGACAAGATCGAAGAGCTTCTGAAAAATGAGACCCCCTTGAACGGCTCGTCTCTAGAGAATGCAGTGCTCGACGTGCTATGGCGATACCGCGAGGGGGGAGGTAGTGCGACCTCACCTCCCCCCATACGACAGACCATCCTTCGCCGGCCTTCTCCAGCCTCATGGCGGGGTTCGTCGACTCCTTTGTCAGGCTCTCCTCGGTTAGGAGTGAGCCCCCTGGCCCCGCCAGGCTTTGTTCCGACGAGCCTTAGCCGGACCAAGTCTTCCACTGTATCGCCCTTCTCATCTCCGCGTCCATCTCCGCGACTCGCGTTCTCGGCGCCGATAATACCCCACAGCCCGAATCTAAATGCTTACGAATTTGCCAATGATACGAGTCCCTCTCAAGAAATATTTGGTGACCTGCAGACTGAAAATGTTGACTGGTTAGTGAGTGATGATGCACTCAGTATTGCTTCCTCCGTGGGCACATCTAGTGGCCTCAACGCCGCAGCCCCTGAATACGTGTCTGCCCAACAGACGGATATGACACCATATGATATGCTCCGCTCGATTCTCGGGCAATCCAAGACCGATGAAGAGATCGAACTAGCTCTTTCTATGCATGGTTACGATCTCAGTGCTACTATTGCATCTATAATGGAGTCTCAAAGCCAAGACTCGACGAATGTTGCAGGACTTACTCCTGAATCGAAGAGTGTACTAATCGGCAAATCTATGACACCAGATGGGAGACCTGCAACGCCATCAGCTCAGGGGAAAGCTGGCATCATCTGCAAATTCTACCTATCTACTGGCCAATGCCTTCGGGCAGACTGTCGATTCAGTCACGATCTCAGCAATCATCTTTGCAAGTAAGTTTAGCTTACCACTTCCACTGCCCCTTTCCGTATATTAACTCTCTAGGTATTGGGTTACGGGCAACTGCTTGGCCGGGGACACGTGCATTTTCTCCCATGACCCAGCCCATCTCGTAAACCGCCTCAACGTGGATGAAAATGGCACGCCGCAGAAAAACCAGAATCTACAGGTTCAAGATTTTAGCTCGTTCCCGTCTCTACGGCCAGGCACTCCGGAATTGAACCCTTATGCTGCTAGTTTTAACTATCCAACCTCTGGAGTAACACCCCCACCCGGGTTGAAACCCTACGGAGGTAATGATAACTCTCGCCCTCGCTCGCGGCCTGGGAGTCGGCATCAGGCGAAAGAAGGCATGAGCGCACCGCCAATAGACGATAACGACGCATTCCCCTCTCTTGGGTCCGCTTCTGCTAAACCTAACAAAAAACACCATGGCAAGCGTGGTGGGCATGGCCATGGTCATAAAGAGAACTTCACTCCAAGCTCTCTTGCTGATATCGTAAAAATGTCGCCATCTCCTTCACCTGGACCCGGATCCGGGTCTAGCCGACAAGAATCGAAGAAGCTTGGCCGCAATGGAAGTTCTACTAATATCAAGAATGGGGAAAACAGTGTTGCCGCTCAGGCTATCCCCATGCCCAAGCACATTCCGTGGCTAGAGACGGGAGATAAGGCAAACAAAGCTTACCTGAAGGCTCGTCAGGAGGCCATCAAGCATGGTGGCCTCCGAAACAAGTTCTTACAGAGGTTCGTAGGTCCCTAATATTATTATACATACCTGATAAGGCTAACTCTAGGTTTAGTGCTGCACAGGCTTGGAACCGTAACGATGCTCGAGCGGCGAAGGCTCTTAGTCTCCGGGGTCAAAGCGAGAATGACCTTATGCGAAAAGCTCACCGGGAAGCTGCGCGGGAGTTGTACGAGGAGCGCAACAAGCAAAACTCGCCTAATGCGGAGATCTTTATAGACCTACACGGCCTCCACCCGGATGAGGCTGTCGAGTATCTCGAGAGAGTTCTCCTAGATAACAGTAAGGAAATTCGACCCGTGTACGCCATTACCGGAACCGGACATCACAGCAAGAACGGGAAAGACAAGGTGGGTAAGGCTATCAGGAACTTCCTTAACGAGTGGAGATATGCGTACCGTGAGTTCTCGGTTCCCGGGGACCGGAACAACATGGGAGGCATTCTTGGGATCGACGCTAGAAGCTGGGACAAGTCTCTTGCAAGAGAGGGCTCGAAAGAGAAAGAGGAATCGAAAGAGGACGTTGACATCCTAAGCCAAGGAGTTGAAATTGGGGATGGAAAGGTTAGGCTCCTTGTCCGCGATCCTCCGAAGGGACCTAGTAATAGGGGACGGTGACTAGTAGCAGATAATATAGTGAATAAAGCAAGTTGAAATCTTTCTTATATTAGTGTCCTTGGCTACCTATTTAGGGGTCCACGGCTTCTGCACTATCTCTCATCGAAATGTGATTATTGGCAGGGGTCAGCTACATCATACTGTACCATGGCGCGCGGGACGACTTGAGCTACGGTTCGACGGCCGGGATCGACATCCGACGTTAATCGGGGACATGATGTAATTGATTATTAGCTACCTATGTAGTTGCTCTGTGTGAGGTACTTGATATGTACAATACACAGGCCACCAAGTCAAGATATCTACACTAGATGTGTTTGATAGTGTACGTGTAAACTCTCCTACGGCTTACATATTAATAATATGAAACCTTCTCATCTTTCCAGTGTAAGTTGCTTATCTCCTCTTTAACCTGGGGATTACTAACTGCGCATTTGATCGTGGTTGAGCTTTTGAGTTTATGTTACTTTTACATATACATAGGTATGTACAACCCACCCTACACTATCTCAGCCCTGTTATGTTTGAAGTGAAAGGTACATATTAAAGGTACAATACATGACATTGTACCTCGTAGTACCCGACGCATGGTCCCCTTCCAATTGGTTCCCTTTTTTATTCTTATTGACGCTAGTGTTCCTTCTTTTCAGCCCGTTCCTTCGTATTGATGTAATCTCACTAGTGTACCTCTGAAGGGGAACCTTAACGTTATACTGTGGGAATACATAGTGGACGCTGCGCTAATCTGTTCGCTGACGTCCTTAGGGGGGGGGGCCCATCGTTTCCTCCTATGTACCCCCTCTACATACCTACACTTCCCGGATTCAAACTTTGAGGTTGTGAATTGTTGATTCGTATACCGTCGGCGAATATGGATAGCTAGGCTAGCTAGTGCCGTTTGAAGCTATCTCGACTTTGCTGCTGATATATAAACCCGCACGGGATAACTATAACGACAACCATATCTCGTATCGGTCCTGTGTTTCCAATTATACATAGCTCGCCCGTCTTCCGCCTCGACGATATAGGTATCTGGTCTAAAGGACAAGGACCCCCGATACGATACGATCTGGTTTCTACATATACACAGCTAAAACACCATCATCGTCGTCGTCAATATGCCTCCCGATCACGAAGCTCAAGAGCCCATGCTCTCCGTCTCACACCCACCATCACACTCGCCATCTCCATCTCCCTCTCCCTCCCCGACGCCCCCGTCTCCACGCCCAGATGCTCCTCTCCCGCCATGGGTACGCCCGAATTTACAACGCCCGACATCCAACTCGCAGCGCCTCTCAACACCATACTCCCGCTCCGCAGCCGCAAACGACTCCTCCTCCGAGCCCTTCGCCCGCCGCATCATGCGCGCCAGCATGTCCTTCTCCAATAACATGCTCAAGCTGTTCTACAGCATGACCCTCCTCCAACGCATCATCGCCGTGTCCGCCCTGCTCGTCGTAAACGTCCTCCTGGTCCTGTTCCTCGTGTACTCGCACCGCATCTTCGCCGCCCTGGCCCCCGTCGCTAAGGGTTGGCGCGCGCTGATTGGCGGGTGGGTCATCGTGTTTCTGATGACGTGCGCGTCGGGCTTCCCGCCTATGATCGGGTATAGCACATGCGTCACCATCGCGGGGTTCGTCTACGGGTTCCCGGGCGGCTGGCCCATCGTCGCTAGCGCCACCGTCTTCGGGTCTACCGCTGCGTTCATCGCCAGCAGGACGATATTCAGCGGATACGTGCACTCGCTAGTCGGCGCGGACAAGCGGTTCGTCGCTTTAGGACAAGTTCTCCGTCGAGACGGATTGCTAGTCCTAGCCGCTATCCGTTTCTGCCCGCTGCCATTCAGTCTCAGCAACGGGTTCCTCGCCACGATCCCCAGCATTTCCCCGTGGCGCTTCGCCCTCGCAACAGCCATGGCCTCCCCCAAGCTTCTCGTGCACGTCTTCATCGGCAGCCGGCTGGCCTTGCTCGCCGAGAGCGGGGATACCATGAGCGCAGGCGACAAGGCCATCAATTACCTAAGCATGATCCTCGGCAGCGCCGTAGGGATTACTCTCAGCCTGTTTATATACCGGCGCACGATGGCGCGTGCCAGAGAACTCGCGCGCGAAGAGGCTGCTGAGAACGGGGTCGCGGTGGACGGGGCACTTGATGAGGAGTTAGACCTGGGGTATGGTGACTTGGAAGAGGGAAGACGGCAGCGAGCTGGGGAGGCGGATGAGGCGGCGCTCATGGATGATGATGATATCTCGCTGTGGGAGACGGATGCTGTTGACGGAGTAGGATATAGGGATGAGTCGGAGGAGGAAGATGCTGCCGGAAAGGGGAATGGAAGGGTTTCCCACGGGGAGCATCGATAGATGGATGGATGGATGGATGAGCATTGTCGACTATTTGCAAATTTACCAAGGGATTCGTCCGTGTACGGAATACGGGATACAATAGGCGTCTGGCGAGTCGAGAGCGTAAGCAAGGGTGGGCTCAGTTGCAAGTTTGGCATTTTGGAGTGTACGGCATAACATGGATGGGAATATCAAATCACATTAGCTAGAGGGCATAGGTGTCTAGGCAAGGTAGACGGGTCATTTTGATTTTGCTTGTGGAAAAGAATATTATTGTGTTATAAGCTATATCAAAGCTGGTTTCTCAATTTCCTGCTCTTGAAGGGTATCGTCCGTGCTAATTTGCTAATTTCTTCATTCCTAACGCCCAACTGATGCTATCGTAAAAAGTAAAAGAAAAGAAGGAAAAGAAAACCCGGCGCCTCATACATTACGTTATCATACCATAATACGCTTCAATTCATTTAGAGGCAGTCCATGCCTTCCCCTGTGTGCGCGAACTCGCTTGCTTTAAATCAAATACTCCTTGGCCAGGTTTGTTGCTTGAGCCCGCCCGATAATAAACCCCTATGAAACCAAAAAATCAAAATAGTAATCAACTCCAACTATGATCTTAAGTTAGGTACGGCCCACGGCAAAAGCAAAGTCACCTCGACTAAAGACATTACTGTTGTCCTTGGAGACTCTGCATGAGCCGAATTGCATCCTCGATAGGATATCCGATGAAGACTGGGCCCGTAAACAGCATCTGCGGCTTATTGTCTGGCTTGCGATCCAGCTCAGCCTGGTTGATAAACGTAGGCTGGCGTGGGTTGCTGGCCGCAAATCGTGGCTCATGAGCTGGGATAGAAGTTTGACTACTCGACCGGATATCTCCAAACCTAACGGAGTTCTTATCTTCGCGTTTCAAAGGGGAGCCATTCATCATATCCGTCAACTTCGTGTGATCGAAGGGACACTTTCCTGTCTTTGCCGGCGTCACTTGAGGAGGCAGCGATGAAGGAATCTGAACGGGCGCTGGCGGAGGGGACTCAGGTCGACCCAACCCTTCAACACCCGATGGAGTATCGAATACGGGCACTGAGATGCCCCAAGGACGGCTCGGAGATTCACCAACTCGGACCTCCTTGAGAGGTCGGTCGAAGCGGCTTTGCCTATCCAGATCATCTAGATCATCCTCACGGTGTTCTAAAGCAGTATGCTCCGGATCATCCGAGGCCGTTGCGCTCACCGTTTGAGCCCAGCTCACGACACGATCGTTCGAGGTTCTTTCAACCTCGCTCTGAGGTCGTGTGTCCCGTTCAGGCAACATAGGTTGATGGATCCGACTGAGACCTTCAACCATGTTGGCAAGATTGCCATACTTGGCATCTAGCTTCCTAATGTGTTCCTCGTTCTTTTGATACCTACGCACACAGACTTCGTGACTCCTTGGTAACTCGTGCTTGTGTGTCTCCAAGTAGTGAGCGATCTCTTCCGGTGAGTGCTGGTCCATGTATCGAATTGGGCATTTGGAAGCAGCAGGCTGTGAGCTTGGATCATCATACATGGTCGCACAGATGGGATCTTCTATATCATGCACCGTTTTGCCAGGTACGTTACTAGGCTCCTCATTTTGCTTCTCTTCTCCGACGGACTGGGAGAAGGGACAATCTAAGTTGCTTTTCTTTCCCGGGACAGTAAAGTCCTGTTCGAGGATAGTGGAGAGGGTCGTCATTGTGGTAGGAGGAAGGCTGTCTCTGCTAGATCGACTGCTCTTGCTAGTAGCTGTCAAGGATGAGGCAACACGTCTACCTTCCCTAATGATGAGGGCAATTTGATGTTTAGAGTCTGAGGTTTTTCTTCTAAGTAAGGGAACAAAACTATTGTTTGCTAGGGATGGATTGTGCAACTCTGGAGGAATCTGAAGATTCAATAGCGTCTCTGAAATCTCAGGCGCCGTCGGAGCATATTTATCGGCTAGATACTGGAACTATCGGAATCGACAAAGTTAGCGACTGAAACCTCGGAAAAGATTTTTGTCATTTGTAAACAAGAGATGTCATTTTCCATATTATATCAGTAACTTCTAAAAAATTTATTTCGGTCAACACTACCACAAGGGTAGCTCTTGATCTAGAGCTAATTTTTCTCATCATATATAAAGGGCGGAGAAGGAAGAAGGGAGTAAGACGGGATTTATAAGATTGATGATTAACATACCTGCTCGTGTGCATATCGAAGTTTGTGCTCCAGGACAGTCTGCCTGTCGCTCAAGTTTTGAACTTCATCAGCCAATGCATTAAATGACTCTATTAAGGTCTGTACGAGATTTTGACAATTCATATCCTGGTCTAACATGGGGGGGAAATGAAGAAGAAGATTACGAGTTAAGAAAGCCGGAGATGTAGTTGGGGTGAAAAAGGAAAGGATGCTAAGTTAGTGGAATGATGAAATGGAGAATGATCCGAATAACGCCGATGGCTAGAAACTAGATTTTTTGTTAGCTCCAATTCCGGATGTGGGGGTACCCTCGTTTCTGTGGTTAGCCTGTTTAATTACATGTGCATGCAAGGAACAATTCCCCTCCTTCCTAAACTCATTGCATGTTCCCATTCAGCAAGAACAGAAACTTGGAAAGTTTATCAACGTAACACGACATTCGTTAGGTTACCTATGTACCTATTGCATGTACCTAAGGTAAGACTACACGTAATAAGAATACTTGTAGATTTCAAAGGCTCTTATAACAAGTCCTCCCTTGAGTCTCCTATGATCGCGAAGCCAAGGAAATAGTAAATAAACCTACATAAGAAGATGCCTCTACCCAGTCAACAAATCTAAGACTAGCCCTATATTGTCCTCCAATGGATCGATGGAATCAGGGAAATACTGTCAACGACGTACAGGATCCTAATATTCCGTATTCAAACGTCAACTGGTTATAAAAACAATCATAAAAGCTCCACCTACCAACTTGGAATCTAGATCCTTCCCCGCTTCATACAACTACATACGTGATAACAAGGCCCGTAGCCAACCCAATCATAGTAATAAGTACTTGCCAAAGACTGAATTGCACCGGGCAATCAATAATGGCTCCAGTTGTAGCTGGTCTTGTTTCCGAAAGCAAACCATACCTCGTCCCAGGTGAAATATATCACGTTCGATTCGTCCAGCCTCAGAACGACTAACACGTCGTATTAGGCAAGCTGCTTGTGAGAGAGCTCTGGTTTGAAGTCCCTTTAGACTACTCCGATCCAAAATTAAAGACTATTAAGCTCTTTGCAAGAAGTGTCGTTAAATATGAACGACCTATTGTCGAATCATCAGAGGTTGTGCAGAGACCTTACCTACTATTCCTCCAGGGCGGCCCCGGTTTGGGGACCCCAGCACCTCAAGATTCTCCCTTGTCAGGGTATATGCTCGATAGAGGCTACGAGCTGCTCTTTCTAGATCAACGGGGCACGGGCTTTAGCACACCCATATCAGATAACACTCTAGAGCTCATCGGCAGCCCCCAGGAGCAAGCCGACTATCTTAAGCTCTTCAGGGCCGACACGCTTGTCAAGGACAGTGAGGCCGTTCGCCTCTGCCTAACAAAAGACTACCCACCTGAGAAGAAGAAGTGGTCTACATTCGGTCAGTCGTTTGGCGGCTTTACGACTCTAACCTATCTCTCCTTCGCACCAGAAGGCCTTAGAGAATGCTTCATCACCGGTGGGCTTGCCGCCTTGGATAAGGGCCCCGAGGAAGTTTATCAAGCCACCTTTCGAAAGTGCATAGATCGGAATCACGACTACTATAGGAAATTCCCAGATGATATCGCTACGGTCAAATGGATCGCCGAGAAGATCCGCGAGCTCGGCGGTGAAAAGGGAATTCCTCTACCCGGCGGCGGCTTTCTAACAGTGTCACGATTAATGACTGTGGGCCTTAATTTCGGTGCTCACGGGGGCGTCGACCGAGTTCACAACTACATCATTAGGATGAAGGCCGATCTAGATCAGTATGGCACATTCACTCGCTACACTCTGAACGAACTAGAGCAGGACAACCAATGGGACACAGCTCCAATCTACTCACTACTTCACGAGCCATGTTGGTGCTTCGGCCCAGGCGTAGCCGGAAGATGGGCAGCCGAACGAGTCGGCGCGAGCCTGGAAGAATTCCAATGGCTTCGGCAGGATTGGGCCGGGCCAGCGAGTCTAGGCGAAAAGCCGCTGTATTTCTCCGGCGAGATGATCTACCCCTTCTTCTTCGACACGTGCACCGGACTCTTCAAGCTCAAGGAGACGGCGCAGATCCTAGCCGAATTCGACGGCTGGGCACCGCTCTATGATATTGAGCAGTTGGGTAAAAACGAGGTCCCCGTGTACGCGGCCGTCTATAATGATATGTACGTCGATCCGGAGATGTCGCGGGTCACGGCGGCTAGGATCAAGGGGATAAAGGTCTTCGAGACGAGCGTCTTGTACCATAATGCTCTCCGTTCGCGCCCTGATGAGGTGATTCCTCAGTTGCTTCGGTTGCGTGACGATACCATTGACTGAAGAGCTTTTGTAACCTGTGGCCCTACAAGGTATCATCAAGATCAAGGCTATAGCACTTAGGCATTTATCTCCCTGGCAGCCTTACCGGGTGTTCGGCTCGGATACGAGCAACCATGTATACAAGTCCTACCAAGACCGAATCCTCGGATGAATCTTCCTACGTAAATAAGAATAACCGATAAATTATATCTACTAGTATGTATATCTTAGCTAAGCTGGCCATAGAGCAGACACATAGTAAAGGTATGTTCCAAAGCTAAGCTTAGGGATGCATACAAACAGAACGGTTTCTACGCTCACGCCTAAGCCGTCACGAACGGACTTCGTAGATACCGAATCAAAACAGCTCACGCTTACTCATATACCCATGTCCACCGTAGGTATATCCATTTCAAGGTCTACCTTCAACTTCACCACGGCTCCGAAGACAACGCATTGCACTATGTACCTATCTAACATGACAAAACCCAGGGGCTGGCTCTTATATCATCGTCACCAAGTTTCACAGCCCTTGTACTCGGCCTCCTAGATCCTTCGTCGGGATTTCCCCGCTTAGGCCCTGCTAGGTAAGTGTCAAACCAAAGATTGCCATGCAAGCGGCACGCGAGCTAGAAACCGCCTCCGGAGGACGGCTAGAACGTTAATACGGTCCAGGGGGTTTAATGAGTTGCTATTAACTAATCAACTACTACTTTAGGTACCTATCAGTCGTCTACATTCCGCTAACTACCTAACCTATAGATCAGTCAACGCCTGAATACGTGTAGGTATATCGCTCCACAAGGACGCAATAACCCCTTTGCATTATCTGCAGCCGCCACGATATTGACTACATGGCCATGTTACCTGCAGGCGAACCGTGACAGGTAAATAAGGCTTGCCGTACTTTCTCAAAGTGGCGCACGAAATCGCCCAAGATGGTGTTTAGCCTGCGGCAGCTTGCCGCATTGGTAAGAGATCTGCCGTCTATGAGTGGTCCAAGCCATCAAGGCATTGTAACCAAAACGGTGGCTGTAGACCGTAGGGCGTCGACTTGTCTCAGAAGTAGGACTTCGGCGATGTACCTAGCACGGCCCTGCGGTGCTAGTTATAGGTTAGGTACAAACCCATCGAACGTGATGTGTACCTCATAGTAGTACACGCACGCTGCCTGAATGCGAGCCACGGCACGAGACACATACGGCAGCGCGCTTAGTCTTCTTCATAAACTTGCTGCTGCATCTCGATTCCTGCGTCCCTATTAGCTGCGGTGCTGCACCAGAATGAGGGGTCATGCGCGTACGCCACAGTCTGCTTGCCGAATCTGCAATTACCTTGGCCTTGGCAAGGAGCTTCTCTTCGTATTTCTCCTCGTCTTTCGACTTGAGCCTCACTTTGCTTGGTTGTGCCTTTTAAAACCACGTCAGTCCCCCCTTTTCCAAACCCGGCTTTTGGTGATACCTAATCACGTACCTGTATAAGAATCGGCACGAGCTCCTTGGGATCGGCGTTCGCGATCGCTGCAACGGTTTTGAACCCGTTGTCGTAGAATACCCTCGCTGTCCGGCTTTTGACGAACGTGATCTTAGCTAGTGCTAGGAGATCTGACCTTGCTCCGGCATTCAGCCTATCTGAAAAGTGATCGAGAACAGCCGCCATCGCCCTATTCGCGAATTAGCTCCAGGTCCGGCTATAGGAATAAGCGGTAGATAGCCTTGGGCTCCATATCGAACGTACCCCCAGCCCATCTGCTCACAGAACTTGATCACTTTATCGGATAAAGTTAGCAATGATATCTTATTATACGTCTCACGTATCATTTGTGTTGCGATGCGTTACTCACTTCCAGCAGCAAAACCCTGGCACGTCTGCGCTAGGTTCTGCACCGCACCTCGTGGCGTGTCGTACTTGCGTGAGACCACATGAATGGGCATCTCGTTGCACAGGTCCCTAAGTTGGAGGGCTAGGTAGAATCTACGATAAATACGAGCAGTTTCCTTCTCTTGTGGTGTCGTCTCCTTGAGGTTCCCGCCTTGGGCCCTGTGATAAGTTAATATAACAGTTTTGTTGTAGTACCTATTCATCACTTACATCTTGATTACTTGCGTCGGTTTTAGACCGAGAAATGTCATAACACGAAGTCCGCTGTCATCGAGGCCTTCCATTTCCGATCTGAAGACCCGCCAGTCGATGGTAATGGAATTATCATGCACCGGCGTGAACATATACAGAACATCTGCGACTCTTGTAAGCCATTATCTCTTCGAGACAAATTTTCATCCCCCAAAGGGAAGTGGATATCTAATAGGCAGAACTTTCAAGGTCCTACTATCAGAATAGTATGGTGTAAGTAATGATGAGCGTAAAACAGGCATTTACTTACGCATTTCGCCATCCATCACGAAGGCGCGCAGTGCACGCTGCATCTCGCGATGGATAAACACCCCATCATCCGGTTCTAGTGAAGAGGTGACGATCGCCTTGCCCAGCTGTGTTGCAGTATATAAATCGGAGTCGTCACAATGAAGGAACCCCATATCGGTTAAATCTCTTAAACTAGACTCAACATGGGTGTTTATAACGTCGGGTGTCGAAGACAAGTTTAATAGAGTTTTCCCGATATAATCCTCAACGGTGTCTCTCGAATTGGCCAGTCTAATAGCGATGATTTCCAACAGCGCTCGTTGAATACGATGTCTATCTGTTGTCAGGCCGCTGGAAATATTCGGTAGTTCGGCTCGCATGAGCTCGATGACATCTTCTAGGTCGTCCTTCCGACAGCACAGGTAAGTCTCTCCGATTTCATCTTTTCCCTTTCTTCCTGCGCGGCCGCGCATCTGACGGAGCATCGAGGGACCAACCAAGTCTCTGCCCATCCGTGCGTTATGGAGTATGACTCTTCGTGCTGGAAGGTTGATACCAGCAGCAAGACTACATGTTGCTACCAGAACCTTCAGTACGCCTTTATCGTAAGCACTAGCAATTAACTCCCGCTCTTCCGTCGTTAGGCCAGCATGGTGAAAAGCAACTCCGGAGGTGACAGTTTCTGCTAGGCAAGGATCAAGCCCTGTACTAAGGCTGCGTAGGTCCGCTAAGAGATCTAGTCTCGCTTCGATAACAGTTGGATCTAGGTAGCTAGTATCGCGTAGAGTACGGCTAATAAGTCGTGCATCCGATTCGCAGCCATCTTCTACATGTTAGCACGAATAACTTAGAAGTCCTATTTAGGCGACTCCTTCGAAGGAACGAGAAAGACATTGTGAAAATAGGAGATTGGTTACATACTGTGAGTATATTAGCATTTGTACGAGACGATAATTCCAAGTAATTGCAATAAATGGTCCAATCATTAGAAGAACAAAAGCATAGCTCTATAATCTAGGAGGATATTTAGTACTGACCAACGACTATTACAAAACACGAGAGCGCCATAGCCAGACCTCGCTGTTTCGACTGCAAGCGCGACTACAGAATTTAATACTGTATCCTTAAATTCCTTGTGTGAGCTAGGCTGGATAATTCTCACGGGATGAGTCTGATGCTGGCTCGCGTTTGAAGTTGGGTTTGGTTGACTAGCAGCTTTGGCAGCTTTAAGGAGACCGCCGGTTGATGAAGCTGGATAAATTTTGCCTTCGTAGACGAGATGCTCTTCGATCGGCACTGGCCGGTAGAATGTGCTATATATGTGGGCATCTAGCCAACGTGATAATAGGTCAATATTTTGCAATGTTGCGCTCATGCCAATAATTTGGACCTCGTGCTCGAGACTTAAAAGTTTCGTAGCGATGAGTTCCATAAGATAGCCACGGTGATCATCGTCTATCATATGAAGCTCATCCAGGACTACGGCTCGAAGCTTGGTGATAGAACAATCGTCAATAGCAGTGTTCAAAAGAGAATTTGCCTGTATTCTTATCAGATCTATGTCACATGAATGCCGTAGGCGACGGACCTTCTCGAAAGTGCAGACCCCAATATCAAAGTCTGACCACGTCGCTCTGACTTTTCCGCCGCCGAAGAAGCCAACAACTCTGATAGTACCTTCATCAAACCGTCTTTGCCAAAGGGAACTCTGCTTCTTTTCCGATGAATCTTCCTTAGAGGTTTGGCGCTTGATACCTTGGACAACGTTTCGTAACCACCGGACCTTCTCTTGGACTAATGCAACATACGGAAGTACTAGCAAAGCTTTCGAATCGCTATCTTCGAGGACCCTCTTTAGCATTAAAATGTCAGCAACTAGAGACTTACCACCCCCCGTCGGGGCCGTATAGACAAGATTCTTTGACCCATTTAGGAGACCTGGGCCTAGAAGACATTGCTTTTGCCAGGTATATATCTCATTGATACCAAGCGCTTTGAAGTTATTCACCAACGAATTAGGCAAGCCATATCGTGGAAAAGATAGCAAAAGGGAGCGGTCGACTACTGACGTAGGGGTAGCCTGTACTGCCCGGCGCTGCGAATATTCGGAAGGGTGTGTAGTAGCATCGGGGTCAACGTCTGTGATGATACTAGCAGCTAACTCAGGCAGCTCTTTGTCAACAGTTGATGCTCTCTGGAACTGAATTGCCCTTTTCGGTAGGGGCTGCTGCTCAGGACTAGCGATATCGGCATGGAATCTCTTGTTGCCGGAAAGGGTAGTTGTATGAAATGTCTTCTGCTGCAAAGTAGTTGACTCAAGTGTCGTCTTATGCAAAATGCCTCTTGGTGGCTCCATGATCATCTACCACTCTGGCTGAGCAGATAAAGCTGTGGTTTTGCGATGGGTTGGCTTTCACCGTCAACTGTGATATGCATCAGGACTGTTGGTTGATAAGTACCTACCCTTCGCTCAGTCCAAGCACATATGTACATAGCAAACGGTCTAGTTCCAATTCATGCTATGCAAGGCAGAAATGTAGGATGACAAGTGTACAAAAAATGGAGATAGTCATCCATGCAGCCATGATAGTGTATGTTAGGTACACTAAGAGGTACATATGTCAGTTGGGATTTAATAATCGGGGCCGGTAAAGATGGCGTTGTACACGAAAGCAACGCCATGTCACGTGGCAGCAGGGTGCTCTTTTCTTCAATGCCCTTGCATATGCCAAGTGGAGTGGAGAGCAATCAAGGACAGCCTACGCAGAACCCTCACCAAGGCATCGGGAATTGGCGCTTGGCCTCCGAAGATCCACTTTATTGACATAATCAGGTACGGCATCGCGTAATCATTGCCGCCGTCGTTCCCAAAAAGGAATTCATGCATCAATCTAATCCTGATGCCTTTCATTGGATGATGACTTTAACGGATGGATCTCGGATTGGCCTCTCAGGTGGCCCGTGCCGATTTACGAACCTCGTGCGGTCGGGGGTCACCTCCAACGTCAAGCTTCCAACACTTATTAATTACATGTACCTCATAGGGTAGGTACCAATGTAACGAGCTGGCAGGCTGGTAGGGTAAGGTAGCCTATGTACATAGGACTTGTTTTTCTGCACATGGAAAGGCTGGTTCACCCGACATCTCGGCATCGCAGGTCAGACTGCTCAGCTAACTGCCTAACTGGATGACCACCTATGCAATGGATGGGGGATGGGGGATTGGTAATTTTGCTTATATACTACCTACGGTCCTACTATGTAGTAGGATTGTATTTGTCATTTTACCTTCAGACCGTTTCCTATTCAGCTTTCGATTGCGACAATGTTCCCATTCGAACATTCAACAGATTACTCTCCGATACATGGCTGTCGTTACGTTGGTCTCAAGTGGGTTCACTTCCGGTTTTATCTGCGTAGGTGGCAAAAAGCAGTGTTCCACATACGTGACATATTTGGGCTAATATCCTATTGTCTTTTTACTCCCCTTTAATCGCTTTTGCCCGTTAAGTTCCAACTCTCCCTACGTAGTCCTTAGTTCACGAGTATCGAATGAGCATGTATAACAAATAACGGTATAGATTGCGAAGTAATGATGCTGCGATGAGAGAAACTATATTTATCAAAAACTAATCAAGTATTATTAGGTATTTATGTATTTGTTACCATTGCAGGCTACGGATTAATATCGATGAGACCATAGGCACATACTGTCTTTTGGATTAGTAGATAGTCAGTTAGCAGGCTCTACATATGTCCAAACCTTAGGGAGCGCCCATTTCCATGGTTCAAGCCAAGCTGCTGACTAGCAGATACTTTATACCGCTAGATCTCGCTGCGAAAAGCGGAGATTCCTCTTTTGTTTTGAAGAATCGCCCCAGAATCTGGAGGCACTTACATACTCGTCATGAAGATGCTAACCTAGGTCATTTCCACTGGCGTGCTCTTAAGGGGCAAGGAGCTTAAAACATTCCTCCGCACATCAGAACTAGTCCTGACCCTTAAAACCCTGGATTACGTAGATATTGCCCACATCCAGTACACATTAAACAAAACCATTCATTCAGATCCGGCTATGTTAGGTTTTGGGGCACGGTGCAATTTTTTATACGGAACACGAATTGAGAGGTAACACGCCTACGTAGCGGTCGATACACCTATCTATTCGGCGAAGTAAACTTCTGGCTCTCATGGGTAAAGCGGACATTTCAACTGAGGACAATTCACCTTGCTGTACTTTTTGCAGGTTTGTGAGCTCGGTTGTCTTGGGTATGTCTCTACTATTGCACAGCGGTGACGGGTGGGATCCCTGTCCCATGTGATCTGGTTGGACCATTAGATCGCGAGGTGGGGGTTTTTTGCTCAATACCTGTTGTTTTTGTCCCGGTTGCTAGCGGTGCCCAGGCTCTCCAGACTGACTGCCTCGCCTTTGCCTCGCCTCGAAGCCTAAGGCCGAACTGCTTCTGGAAAGACGAGAAGCATTTTCCGTGATTAATCGCAACGTGAATGCATTCAATAAGACAGTACGGATAAGCAACGAACTGCGCCTTATTTGGTTGCTTCTATGATATCTTGGCATAGAAAGTGTAGATAGACAACGGCCATGCTTTGGTTTAAAAATCTCGGGAAACGGGCGGTCTTGACTCGCGGCCAATCTTGGCTAGATCCCCACCCTATAAAAGTGCGACAGGTGATAGGAATGCTGCCTGTCATACAACTGCGCGTCGCCCCGATGAGGTGAGCTCGATGGCTCGGGACACGCGGTAACATCTCTAAAAGAGGAATAACTGAGAGGAATAACTGTGAAGAGGCGGCGACGATCAGTGTTGGTATAAAGAGAATTTACTCTTTACTCCTTAGTTAAATAGGGCTGCTCTCAAGCGAGGGCGTTAAAGCAGTACAAACGCATCACGAAATATTAGCAAGCGAGCTAGGCAAAATGAAACGGGGATGCAACTGTTTTCAACAAAAAGACACCATGGATTCGTCTCAATGAACGGCATATCTAACCAAGAGGGGGAATATAATCTAGTCGGGAACAATATCATATCGATACGCCCTATACACAGAAGTCTTTGTCGGTCGAGAAAAGCACGCAGGCACAACATATAATTTCAGATGCGAGAATGATGGATGAGATGAAGTCGAATAGAGCATGCAGCCTTTAGCAGGAAGCGTAAGTTTGGTTGGACTTGACAGGGGTGCAAGTAAATGGATGTGGGCCGTGGGCTCCCAAGGCGAGACTTTTTAACCTCAGTACCACTCCACAGACATCCACACACACTGGCCTTGTCACTGGCCTTGTCGGGGAAGTGTATGTACAACACACGCCCAATATTTTACCCCTGTTTACGTAGCCCCTTCCAGGTACCGGTACCGCGACGCTACCATCTACCAATAAGCCCAGCTGGTACAATATCAGAGTTTGAATGGCTGAAGATCCCAACTCCTCCCCCGTCAAATATTCCCCGTGCCCTTTGTGCGTCTCTTTCTTGACCATTTCCCATTGCTCTATTAAAACGTTAGTATTTAGATACTAATGTGGTAAATAAATGCATGGTACCTACGGGCGACATTGTACTATGTACAACCAGCAATGAAAATTGCCGTTAACCATACCTTGACCTAACCTCATCTACTATTAGTGTATTGTACATACCTATGTAGGTAGCATACAGATTTCCTATTTCCTTTTCCTACATCCTTTTACTTACCTACATACATACATACATACATCCATCCATTCATTCATTACCTTGGTATTGATGCATCTGTACTATCTGTACACTGGATGATTTAAAAAGTACATAGATACCTCATACCTTACTACTAGCCTTACCTTACCTTACATACATGTAGGTAGGCCGGCCAGACTAACCTAGCTGTTGCATTTCGATGCATTTGCATCTCTTGACTTTTTTGCCTTCCTGTGATGCATACAAGCATTGCACACGGGCATCATCTATTCAATCTACCCAATCCATCCATCCAGTCAATATATCAGCCCTTGCGAACCTCTCCTACTTCACCTAGCTTTATTTAGGGTACCCTAGCAGCACAGCACCACGTATGTACGTACATATTATGGTACATGGAGCTGGCTAGTCCAACGTTCGTCAAAAAAGTCACCCATCTCTTTTTTTTCCTTCTCATTCCATACAGTAGTAGGTTACCTACCTACCTACCTTTTTTTTTCCCTTACCGCGCCTTTCATACCCCAGCAAATCTACCAATCTCCAAGATCCCGAAGTTTAGATTCCCAGTCTGCCTCATCTTAGTTGGAGCATCCGTGTCATTACAACAATTTTTCCCAAAGTTCCCATCTAAATTCCCCTTCGTAGGCCCTCGTCCTACCTACACGAGAGCACAATTCGGTATCGACAAGTCTCGATATCATAGGTCGATCATCGTATGCTCTTGGCAACCCTACCTTGCAATATCTACATACGTATGTACCAGAAGCGTACCATAAACTACATACCTATCTGGTAAGTCGCCGGTCTACTCATACATGCCCATCCCCCATCCACCCATACATAACATAGCTCGTCTACCTTACCCATCCTATGATCCTATGGCCTGCGGTCTACCCGGCTAGTCGTGTGGATAGTGGGCACCGATTTGATGGTCTGTCCCGCCGCCTCAAACCTCCCCGGTCCATCTTGGCTTGCTTTACATAAACCTTCACTTCTACATACCCTTCACATCTTTCCCGTCCCACACCAGTCACGTCTCCCACCTTCTTTCTTCCCAAACCTCACCATCCATTTTTCCGTACCCGGGTCAGATATTTCGCGTCTTGACCTTTTCTTTCATTATCTTCCCTTCCAAACTTTATCACTTTCGTCTCGCCAACTTGATCATACATACTTTTTCGTCCCTGCCCTACCCTTTCTGACAAACCTCGAGCCAGGACTATCGTGGGACATAATTCGGTAAGCTTCCCACGGACCCTGGTCTTCCAGCCTGCCGTGGTACCACCGGCGAAACGCTCATATGGAATCTTCGCCCTCCAGCATAATTCCTGTCTGAAACATTTTGTCTGCGAGAGTTGCACCTATATTGCCAATCTTATGGACTCAGATTTCCACTGTCTGCCTCGACTAGCACCGCCGTAAACTTTTCGGCGTTTCTCTGTGTGACATTGTATGCGCCGCCTTTTAATCACCCACCATGGCGCAGAAGTCCAGCAACACCGATGACCAGCCCAATCCTTCGTCATCTTCAACTAAGGACCCGACAGACTCTGGGTCCGCGCACAACAACACACCCACACCGGCACAAACCCAAAAGCCCACTAACAACAAGACCTCTGGGGATAATGCAGCAGTATCCCAACCAATGACCAAGTCAACCTCGTCGGGTTCAAACCCGTCGGGCAAGGAGGCTATGACAGGACCATCTCCTTACGGCACGCGTTCCCGCAATCGGGGTCAAGCGCGCCCGAACTACGCAGAGGACAAAGATATGGATGTAGACATGTACGATGCTTATGCAGACAAAAAAGATGAGGAATCTAAAAAATCTTCGCGACAGGTTGGTGCAGCTGCGAATGGTACCAGCGATGCACCCAAAGGCGCAAATTCGACATCACGCAAGGGTGCAGCACCAGAAGATGGCAAGGCTAGTAATGGTTCCCACAATACAGTGAAGGATTCGCATCCGACGAGCAACGCAACTACAAATGGTTCATCCGCTACGGCATCTACTACTTCGTCCAAAAAACGAAAGGCACCCTCGCAATCGGTTGCCAACAATGCGCACAGCAATGGCAGCACCCCTGCACCGGCTGGTCCTAACGCGACGAAACGAGGTGCTACACACGCGACGACAGCTATTACAACCACACAAAATACTGCAGGATACAAGGTGACGAATATGCTTTGTTTCGAGAAATGCGGTGCAATCCCGAAGGAGGGAAAGATGGTGGCAGATGACGGAACAGTATTGGAAGCGAACGGTATGAACTTATTCAGCCCCATAGAAACCGAAAGCAATTTGCGCTTCCATTTTAACTAAATGACTAGCTGACTGACTGACTGACTATATTATTTAGACCATGTATATCTTGTATGCGAACCTCCAGGAGAACCGTATTATTTAGGACGTATTATGGAGTTCCTACATGTTCAGAATGATGCTACAAAGGCCGTTGATGCGTTGCGGATCAATTGGTACTACCGACCAAAGGACATTGGTAAAAAGGTCAATGATACCAGACTGGTCTTTGCCACCATGCACTCGGACATTAGTCCATTAACCGCATTGCGCGGCAAGTGTCAAATCCGTCACAAGGCCGAAATTGACGACATGGAGACATACCGAAAAACTCCTGACTGTTTTTGGTATGAGAAGCTGTACGATCGTTATATTCAGAAGAACTACGATGTGATTCCTTGTTTTCAGATCGTCAACGTGCCTGAGAGGGTCAAGAAGGTGTTAGACGAGCGCTGGAAGTATATTTTGGTGGAGCAGGGTCGGTCTAAGGAATTTACTAGTGCCGTTAAGCTGTGTAAGAGATGTAGTGGGTATTGTGCAAGGTATGTATGCTTGCTTATGTCATCTCTCCACACTTCCCCTTTCTCCTTCCTTCTTGGGTCTTCTGGGTCTCTACCCCCTGTTTCCCTGCCACGAGTCAAACAACGAGTCAAGTAAATCAACAAATAGCTAACCTGATTAAAATAGCAACGACTCTGTCGACTGTGCAGTATGTCAGCAGACGTATCATATGAACTGTGTTCGTCCGCCTTTGCTAAAGAAACCATCACGTGGCTTTGCTTGGGCTTGCGCCGCATGCA